AGTTACTTTACACAGAGGGATTTAAAAGAGATGTAGATCACTAGTGTAAATGAATGTAAGTTCTGTTTATGCTTATGTTTCTATATTGACGATGACATCCCAAATGTTTTAAAATGGATAAAAATACATTTCTTCGGAAATGCTTTGATAACGTATTTATCATGTTTTTCTAGGAACAAATTCCGCAACATTTTTATTAAAAGAGGTACTCTGATTTTTATAAAGCATAAACAAAATCGGTCTTTTCTGGCCGTGAAAATGGGGATGTCACACTCACATTGGTCAAACTTTTTTTATGCACTCTCATAATCGTTTAACTTTAAATAATGTGTCTATCTCAAACAAAATTGTTAAAAATATTATTTCGGTTCGTAAATTCATCACTGATAATTATGTCTCTGTAACGTTTGACCCCTTTGGTTTCATTATGAAGGATTTTAACACAGATGCTTTATCCAAAGATGTGATAGTGTTGGTGATCTCTACCCTATCGTCCCTCATCGGTTCCCTCTTTTCCACTACTTCTCACAAGCTTTCTCCTAGATCTTCTACTTGTGTCTACCTTGGCCCCTCCACTGATCATCATGGATATCGCTATCTTGACCTGATATCGCAACGTGTAATAATCTATCGTCATGTCAATTTTGATGAAGATTATTTCCCGTATTATAACTTTCATGACAAACCATCCACTTTTCATTCAAATGATTCTACTTCCCTACTCCCTTGATCCTCACTTTTGTTCCTCTTACTAAGAACCCTACCAGTGAATATGCTTCTCCTAGTAGTAGTACTTTCGCATCACTACTCCTTCTACTCTTACTCCTCCTCCTTCGACCCATCCTATGGTCACTCGCTTGTGCACTGGATCTCTTTGACTTAAAAATATTTTTAACTTGTCTGTCATCGCTGATATTTCTCTCATCCCTCACTCCACTGCTCAAGCCCTTTGTGACCCAAACTGGAAGGCAGATATGGACTCTTAAATGGCTGTTCTTCACTCCAATCACACTTGGTAACTTGTTACTCCTCCTCCTCATGCCAACATTGTTGGTTGTCATTGGATATATCATCATAAGTTTGACAACAAATGTAACCTTGAACGCTATAAAGGTTGCCTTGTTTCTCAAGGTTTCTCTTAGTTTCCTGGCCTAGATTTTGATGACACCTTCAGTCATTGGATCTATCATCATAAGTTTGACAACAATGTAACCTTGAACGCTATAAAGGTTGCCTTGTTTCTCAAGGTTTCTCTTAGTTTCCTGGCCTAGATTTTGATGACACCTTCAGTCCGGTCATCAAACCCGCCACAATTCACATTGTTCTGAGCATCGTGATATCCAAAAATAGGCCCATTCATCAGATGGATGTCAAAATGCTTTCCTCCATGGTGACCTATTTGAGGAGGTATATATGAAACGACCTCCTGGGTATGTTCATCCCACCTTTCCTCATCATGTATGTCGCCTTCGGAAGGTGCTATATGGTCTCAAACAGGCCCCTCGTGCCTGATACCAGTGTTTTGCTGTTCTCATCACATCTCTTAGGTTTACTCGTAGTCTCTCAGATTGTTCCTTATTCACTTACCACAACGGTTCTAAGCACATCTTTCTTCTCCTATATGTTGATGATATTATCCTCATTACCTCCTCTTCCTCTCTTATCTCTCGCATCATCTCTTATCTCTCCTTTGAATTTTTAATGTTTGACTTGGGTCCTCTCTCCTTTTTTCGTGGTATAGCCGCTTCTCATCTTGACAAGGGTCTGTTCTTATCTTAGACTACTTTTTCCAAGGAAATTCTATAGCGTGATGATATGTCCTCCTACAGCTCGTTCAGTACCCCTACTGACACAAAATCCAAACTATCTCCTTATGTTACCCCTGTTTCTGATCCCACTCTTTACAGGAGTCTTGTTGGTGCTCTACAATATCTCACCTTCACGCGTCCTGGTATTGCTTATGTCATTCAGCCAATCTGCCTCTTCATGTAGGATTTGTGTGAACCTTACCTCTTTTCCTAAAGCGCATTCTTCGCTATCTTGAGTGTAACGTCTAGTTCCTAAAGAAGAAGAAGGAGCTAGAAGGTTCAAGGAGAAGATAGTAGATCCAGGGATTTCCTTCCATCCTCACGACTTTCTGGTAATCAAGTCTCTAACTTGATCATTCATTCATTAGATCTACTTACTTCCATTTTTATGAGGGTTTTGGTTCAAGAACCTTGGTCTTTGGGAGTTGGACGTCCCAAGTGACTTACATTTTAGATCTGGGATCTAGAAGGAGTTCCATGGCATAAAGGTGCAAAATTTATGACCATGGAAGCCCCATGCAAGCTTAAAAGAGTTATTATGGTCTTTTTAGCCCTAAAAGGCCATGCATGGAAGGAAAGCTTGGAACTTTACGTGTCCAAATGATGTCCAAGGCCTAGATCTATTATAGTGTGCTTTGGTTTAGAGTATTATGGCTTGTGGACCAAGATTTATGTTCTAGAGAGTTAGGGTTTGAGCTAAACCCATTAAGAAGGACTAATAGCGGGTAAAGTTAGAAACTTTGCCCTTAAAAGTGTATTCCCAACGTGTAGGTGAAGTATGGAGTTTAGATCTGAAGGGTAGGAGCTTAATCCATTGAGATGGCTCAATCAGACAGAGGAACTCGGCGAGTCCATAGAGGGACTCGACGAGTTAAGTTGGTTTGTCCCATTTTAGCTTAAGGTAGAACTCGACGAGTCGGTGAAGGGACTCGACGAGTTAAATTGGTAGATCGCGACTATAAGTAGCCTTGGAACTTGACGAGTCGGGGGGAGACTCGACGAGTTAGATCGTGATTTCAGGTTCTAGGACTCGACGAGTTGATGGAGCAACTCGACGAGTTGGGTCAACCATAAGGTTGACTTTGACCCAAGCGTTGACTTTGACCAGGGGTAAAGTGGTCATTTTACCCTAAGGAGAATTATCAGGTTTTTGATTAAGAGTTATTGTGATAATAATAGACGGGGAGTCGTGGGAGCAGCCGTCATAGATTCCTCACTCGATATTTCAGCAGTCAGCTTTGCGAGGTGAGTTTTCCTCCAGTAGGACGGGTCTAAGGCACCAAGGTCGGCCCGTATCTCCCAGTTAGCCGAGTGTGGGCGGGGCCCATATCTCATAGTTTAGCTTAAGCATGGATATATGACTGATTAAAAGATTTAGCTATACTTGTTGTCTGTGTGATACTTGTATGTATGATTATTAACTGAGTGTGGGCGGGGCCCGTATCTTATAGCCAACGGAGTGTGGGCGGGGCCCGTATCTCCATGAGTGTGGGCGGGACCCGTGTCTCCTAGTTGTATGTTATTTGGTATGTGGTAGTTTGGGGAGACTCGCTAATCTTTGTGCTTACAGTTTTCATTTTTGGTTTCAGGTACTTCCGGTAGCAAAGGGAAGAGCTCGGGATGATTGCAGTGCACGCACCATTTGTTCAACCTGAGATGTTTTAGACTCTGATATTTTGACATATGATTTTGATACAATATTTTATGATGATGATTTGAGATACATTACTTATGTTTTTATTAGATGATGGATGGTATTTATGGTTTTATGAATAATTAAAAACGAAATTTTTGGACCATATTTTTGGGATGTTTCATTCAGGGTACCTTATCTCATGGTCTTTTTATTAGGCCCTCATTTATTGATTGCTTGGTTTCTTACTCTGATGTTGATTGAGTCGGTTGTCCTCAAACTCTTCGGTTCACTTCCGAGTTCTGTGTTTATCTTGGCACTAATCTCATCTCCTGGTCTTCCAAACGACAACATGTCGTCTCTCGTTCCTCGGCTGAGGCTGAGTATTGTGGGGTTGCAAATGTCGTTGCTAAAGTTGCTTGGCTTCGTGACCTTCTTCTTGAGTTATCTTGTCCATTATCTAAAGCTACGGTTTGTGAGTGTCATGTATTTATCTTCTAACCCTGTACAACACCAACGTACCAAGCATGTGGGAATAGATTTATATTTTGTTAGGGAACGTGTTGCTATTGGACATGCACATATTTTGCATGTGCCTTCAGCTTATGAGTATGCATATATATTTACTAAGGGTCTTTCCACTTAGTTGTTTTTAGATTTTCGGGACAGTTTAAACATTTGTAAACGCTATGTTCAAACTGAGGGGTGTGTTAGTTATTTAGTCCTAAATTACTCTTAAATTCACCTATGTACCTAACGGGACTTGACACCGTACACACCTCACGTGAGGCTTTTTCCCACAATTATCAGTTCGTCGGAGGCCGTTGGGACGATGGGCGGCAAATATTTGTGCTCTGAATAAATGGAAACGAGTTTCACTATTGACGTTTGATTCACCTAAGGAAACTGTGACGGCGTACAACGATGTTGTCGTTAAATTGAAATTGAAAGGTTTTGCTGCCGTTACGAACTTCCATCGTGTTACGGTTACAAGAACCGTCATCGTCGATTAACAATGCTTAACGGTGATGATGACAAAAAAGTGTTTTTTGTGATTGAAAAGCTCATACGATCAAGTAAAAAACAGTAAAATAAAAATCAACAATGAAATTAAAAAATGAAATGAAAAAGACAAAAAAGTGTTTTTGTGATCGAAAAGCTCATACGATCAAGTATTTGAAACCACATGGGCAACCAACCACATAGAAATTTTAATAATTTTCCTTACTACTACGATTGTTTAACCACAAGGATCAGTTGCATAATTTTATCTAAACAAAAATTACGAATATATTGGAAATCTGGCTGCTAACAATCAAATGTCCGCAAACAACTAGTTGTAGTTAAGAACTTAAGATTATTTATTTATTTATTTATTTATTTTTAACAAATAACTAACATCTACCAAACCACCGTTCATTCATGAACACAATTCCCCCTTCCCCCCTAACCCCCACCTTGTTCTAACCCCCACTTCGTCCATATATACATACGCACCACCGCCACCTCCACCGTCAACACCCACCACCCATGTCCTGACTCCTGTGTCAATTGTTCCAATGGTTTCCGATCCCAATCTCACAGTTCTTGAACACTCCCAAATATCGCCACCACCGGCCACCATTGGCCACCGCTCACTTCCGCTTACTTTCTTCGACATTACATGGCTACTCTTCCCTCCGGTCCACCATATTTTCTTCTACGAGTTCCCCCACTCTAAATCCCATTTCATGGAAACCATTGTTCCCAATTTAAAACACTCTTTATCCCTCACCCTTCAGCACTTTTTCCCATTCGTTGGCAATTTGATTGTATTCCCCAATCCTAATACTTCCGGTGTCATCAGAAAACCAGAAATTCAACACGTAGAAGGTGATTCCGTTACTCTTACTATCGCAGAATGTAATCTTGATTTTGATGATTTATCAGGAAATCATCAACGAAAATGTGAAAACTTCTATCCACTCGTTCCTCCATTGGGAAATGCCGTGAAAGCATCTGATTACGTCTCAATCCCACTTTTCTCCGTCCAAGTGACGTTTTTCCGGGACGCCGGAATCTCCATCGGAATGACGAATCATCATAGCCTCGGTGACGCCAACACCCGTTTCGGTTTCTTGAAAGCTTGGAGTTCGATTGCTACATCTGGTGGAGATGAATCATTCTTAGCGACTGGATCTCAACCAATCTACGAAAGATTGATTGACTTCCCGAAATTAGATGAAAATAAGTTGAACAAAACAAATCTTGACACTTTCTATCAACCTCCTGCCCTTGTTTGTTCTTCTGATAAAGTCCGGGCAACATTCGTGTTAACCCGAACAAATATCAATCAATTGAAGAAACGGGTGTTAACCCAACAGCCAGAACTTGAATACATATCATCTTTTACAGTAACATGTGGTTACATATGGAGTTGCATTGCGAAAGCACGAGTCAAAATGGGAGAAAAAAAGGGTGAAGACGAGTTAGAACAGTTCATTCTCACCGTCGATTGTCGATCCCGTTTTGACCCGCCGGTGCCGGCGACCTATTTTGGTAACTGCGGTGCGCCATGTATCGCAACCATAAAAAACACAGTTTTAGCCGGTGAAAATGGATCTGTAATCGCTGCTAAGTTCATCGGAGAGGCTATAAGCAAAATGGTGAAAAATAAGGACGGAATCTTGAAAGATGTGGAGAGGTGGCACGATGGTTTCAAGATTCCGGCGAGGAAGATTGGTGTTGCGGGGACACCGAAGCTCGATTTCTATGGCATTGATTTTGGATGGGGGAAGGTGAAAAAGTATGAAGCTGTTTCGATTGACTATAATGGATCGGTTTCTATCAATGCATGTAAAGAATCAACACAAGATGTTGAAATTGGATTGTGTTTTTCGAGTGTGGAAATGGAGGCGTTTGCGAATATCTTTAATGGCGGATTAGAGAACTGAATCCCGTCGGAGCTTTTTTCTGTGTATTAATGTTAGACTATTTTGGTTTCTTCTAAATCATCAAAAAAAATTCTTAATAAAGTTGCAAGTATCCATATTTGTATGAGAACTTCTTTAAACGTTTTCGAATTTGAACTATACGCTTGGGTTCTTCTTCAACCGGATTAAATACCAAAATTTTGTGCAGTATGTGAAGGAAAAAGCCAAAAGTAGGATGATCTTAAAGATGAGATGAATATGAACTCAGTTCAAGGTTAGAAAGAGTGTTCATTAATATATTAATTTTTTCTATATACAACACTAAAATATGCTTAATCGTTAAGGTTTTGATTTTGTTTTACACTTTCCCATTAATTGATATTTTTAATTTTTAATTTTTTTTAATTTTTAATTTTTTAATTTTTTAATTTTTTTGTGTTTTTCATTCTAACATGAAAGTTTTGGGTAAAACGACCATTATTCTTGTAGTGTGTTTTGATTGTTTCATTTATTATCACACACAATAAAAGATATGCAAATCAAATGCGAAATAGTAAAGAAGCAACTAATTGATTATTCATGTCGATATACCATATTCACTTATTACCCCTAATAAATTAAATAATAAAAAGCAACTATTATTAATGGTCGTTGTTGATGTAAGTTGTAGAACCACAATAAATTAAATAATAAAAAGCTAATAATAACTATTATTAATGGTTATTGTTGTTGTAAGTTAGGGGTGAGCATGGTGCGGTATGGTGCGGTTTTAGCCTAAAACCGCAACTCATACCGCTAGGTGCGGTTTTTCTTTATGTAAAACTGTTAGGTGCGGTTTTATTGCGGTACGGTTTTTGCGGTTTTATTTGTGGTTGCGGTTTGTAATGGTGTGGTTTCGGTTTTAAACCGCAAATTACTAAAATGGCCCAATACTAGGAAAATTCAAATGTCTAAAATAAGTAAATGACCATATTCATTTAGCATCTTAAAAGCCAATAATATCATTTACTACTTAACCATGGCAGTAGGCCAGTAGCCATTTAAATGGCACAAATTGCAACAAGTCAAAGTAGAAAATTACAAGTTTAAACAAGTCAACAACATAGCCACTAGATTGGCCCAAAATCGATAAACTTGCAAGAGATTAAAGAACAAAAATAAAGTTTTTTCAGTTTTTCACTTTCCAACTATGGATCAGACAATAGACATCTATAGCCAAATTCCACAACTTCCACAACTTAACCAAAATCCATCATTTTCCACTAGTGCTTCCTAGAAGAAAAAAAAAGCAAAAAAAATATATTAGTATATTTGAAATATGAACAAACATATAAAGAAAACATTACCAATTTTTAAACTCGCCATCTTCTCATTAAACTCATCTATGTCTTTATTCTTCATAGAGCAACCGAGTTCAAGATCAACCATTGTACATCTTATCCAATCTTGTGTACAAATCAAAGCTTCCGCGGTTTCGGTATTAAGTGAACTTCTATACTTGTCGATAACTCTACCACCCGTACTAAACGCTGATTCCGATGCAACTGTTGATATTGGCATTGCCAAAACATGACTAGCTAGTTTGGATAGTATAGGAAATTTGATTGAATTTGCTTTCCACCATCCCAAAAGATCAAACTTTGGGTCCCTTTTTTTCCTTTCTATCCGCTAGATAGATATCAACCTTAGTCTTAATGTCTTGACCCCTATCATCAAACTTGTCAAACTCTAGCTCCAAATCAATATCCATCTCACTAATACTTGACTTTTCACCAAAAATCGGATATTGTGAGTTTGGTACATTCTTTTTTTCCGCTTTGCCCTTGTAATGATTAAACAACTCATCGATCCAATGTGCCGTAAGACACATATAATTAATGTTTTGAACGGATGACAATGTGTTGGTAGTTAGAGACACTGTTTGACCTTTCAACATTTTTTTGACTTTTTCTATTTCTTGTTCAAAAAGAGATATACAATCTCTAGCAACAGTCCCTCTAGATGACATAATAAACTCGGGATTCAATTCCCACGAGTACTCCCTAAAGCCCTCATCATCAACAATACTAAAGGGTCGATTGTCCTTAATGCACATTTTAGCAATGCCTAGTCTACCCTTCTCTTGGCTAAAGGAATGCTTAGCCAAAGACCCAACCCCCTCCGTCTCTTTGGGCTTGAAGTTTAAGGTTGACTGATTTTTTAAATCATTTTTTTCCTTTTTATAAAGGGGTGATCTTACACAAGAATTTCTTAGATGACTTAGTAACCCAGAGGTACCATTATCTCTAGTTCCACAAGCTAAAACCTTTTTACAATATTTGCATTTTGACTTTTTAGCACCTTTCTTATATGGAAAATGTTGCCATACAACCGACTTCAACTTTTGCTTATTTTCTTCTACAGGGACTTCAACTTCATCATTTTGATCGTCTACATCTATTACACTTTCATTTGTAGCCATTCTAAAACAACAAACATACACTGTAATTAGAGCCATATTGTTAAAAACATAAACAATTACACACAGACAACTATGAAATTTGAAGACTTTCATGGCTTTTAACCGTGAAATGGATGCCCAATCCTTCCAAAATGAAAGAAAATATACGAATGTGTCATCTGATGCCTAAAACTGGGACAATATAGAAGCTATGCCTATAGCAGGAAAGAGAATAGACGAGAGGTTATCAGAGTAACAGAGTTGGACACCATTTCAAGAGACATCAGCTCAAATTCGACTAGATCAGAACTCAAATCAGCTCAAATTGAATCAAATTCAATAGAAATTAAAACTCAAATCATCTCAAATTCGACTAACTGTGATCATGCGAACAGATTCAGAATAGTTGTGCATCGAGTCAGCCAAAAAAAAATTAATCTTACCTAGATTTAGAGTGTCGATTAGATGCGTCAGAGACCGGAGTGCTGGTCGCTGGTGAGCAAGTCGTTGGATTCACTGTGCAGGTCGCTAGCTCGCTGCTTGCTAGTTGCTATTGCTGGTGCGAACGAAGTTGCGAGGGGTCAACAACTCGACTTCGATGACAACGAGCGAGAGAAGATACCACAGGAAATTTTGATTATATCAATTTTGGAAGTCGGCTGAAAGAGAAAAGTAGTATACGTGATTTTAGGGTTAGAGTTTTGAGGGGCTGAAAAAGTGAAAAGATAAGGACTTTTTTTTTGAAGTGGTATTTTTGTTCCCCCCATTTCTTTTCAGTTTTCCCTCTAATTCCCTTTCTTCAATTGTAAATAACTAAACAGATATGTATATTTATCTTTATACTTTAATTTTATTAAATTATCAAATATAGAATTATATATATAATTTAATTATATAATAAATTTTGTGGTGCGGTTTCGGTAAATTTGCACGGTTTTTCAAGCTAAAACCGTATCGTACCATGCTTTGCGGTTTTTTGCGGTAGCGGTAAATGCGGTTTTTGGCGCGGTTTCGGTTTTCGGTTCTGTTCTTGCTCACCCATACTGTAAGTTGTAACATGTAGAAAGATTTAATTTCTCTATTTATAATTAAAATTAGGATTGTAAACATAACTATCAAGATAAAACTTCATAAATGGTCCCTATGGTATTTCGAAATCTAAAGTTTAGTCCTTAAGTTCAAAAAACCTCATAGATGGTCCCTATGGTTTTAAAACTTTTAACAAACAATCCTTTACCCGCATAAAAAGACTTATATGCCCTTTCTATTTTTTTAGAATTAATTTTACTTAATCCTATTTAAAAAAATAGAAAAACAAAATAAATAATTCATTGGGCCTACATCTCTCTCTTTCTCTCTCTCTCTCTCACACACACACACACAAACACACACAACAAATTTGTTAATAGATTTTTTCAAGGTGTTAAAGCAATGTGTATATAATCTGCACATGTTAGGTTGAAGGCGACTGGAATCAATTCCATTTCATCAGATTTTCGTTTCGATTACATCTTGAAGGTCACCAAATTTCCATCTTTCCGCCATCGCCATTAATTTGGAGATTTTTAGGTATGTTTTTGGTTCGATTTCAGCAAAATGGTTGACCACCATCCTGGAGAGAAAACACATGGGGTGGGAGGAGGAAACTTTGGAATCGATCTTGTATAGAGACGATGGTGTCAGCATCTAAACGATAGGATTTGTCGCAATTCATTATCCCCTTTCCGATTTACTTCTATAAATCTTCGAGGTTGATTTCATCTTTTTCTCAGTCTACATTTCCTACAATCTCAGCACCGTTAATGGCTTCCTGCCACCGGCTAAACAGGAACAATGGTGTATCTATTTTGTTGTAAGCTAGAGTCTATAAATAAACCAAAGGAACTCCTCAAAAAATTGATTAACGGCTGGTTTTGGTGCATTCATCCATAACATCGTTGCTTTAAGGTGTTGCATCGAGTGTTGCCTATAGCAGCAAACTAAATAAGCTGTGTATCTCCATCTTTCCTTCTCGATAAAATTAACATCCAAGAAACGAGCGTATGAAGCCCCAAAATCTATAAACATCCTCGAAGTCTTGACGAGATCGGAAGCCCCAGAATCAAACCTTATTTTGATCCTCCCTCATCCTCCTTCACCGTCACTGTCAAAAAATTGATTTCTGAAACCTTATCTTAATCTGAATCGATTTCTAATATGAAACCAAAATCTAAATTTGATCTGAATTAGTTTCTTATCTGAAATTTCGTTTTGGGAGTTCTTGGTGGTACCAATCATACACAACAAACACATCGATTCAACCCTGATTCACCATTCTTTCAATTTCTTATTTGGCCATCGAACACGATTTGCATTACAACTATAAAAACAATAAACAACAAATCAACATTAGCACACATTAAACTGATGAGAGAGATAGGGGTGGAGACCTGAAGCAAGTTGCGAGAGAACATAGAGGTATCGTTAGCTCCATAGATCTACATTACTTTAAACCTCCTCTCTTAGTTCGTACCCTAATTTGTGTGAGTTTCAATTGCAGAAAAATAATTTTGATTCCTCTCTATTTTGTAACGCCCGCAGA